TTCCTGGCATCATCACCCTGGGACTATGTGAGAAGTTTCTACAAACTGCCTTTTTTTAAAGGGAGATTGTGGCACATCCAGAGCTTTCTGTTAGGTGTCGAAAGGCTTAGAGGATGCTTAGTGGTGCTTTTTGATAAATTTGATCTCTAACTACTTAATATTTACTGTGATTTATAAAAAGTAGGTCCAGCAATTGTTCTCGACAAGACTGTAAGACGGATAATTAAGAACCTGCATAATTAATAAAATTCTGTAGTGTGGAAAAAAAAAAAGAAAAGCATACTAGAAATACTATAGAATGAGGGCTTTCTAAATTAATTTGCTCAAGCTTTGTTATACTTAGTAACGGCTAAGCTGTGCATGTTTATCAGAAATACTCTGTACATCAGAATAATCTGCCAAAACAGACACAAATTGTGACAATATATATTTTCTATCACCTGCTTTAGGATGTATTTAAATTAACAAAGAAAGGAAATCGATTTTCTATGCATCTTCAAACCCACATAGATATATGTAGCCACTAAATCCACACTCCATCATCTTTGGGGTCAGAATCCAAGCCACCCTCCAAAAACACTGATCACTCACTCAGATTCAACCTCAAAGGAGGCGTTGGGCACAGTTTCTAAATCAGTGGAGGTGACTTTGTGCACATTATGCCTGTTTTTTTAATGGGAGAAGTATAGAAAGGAGAAATATGCAGCAGTTGTTAAAAAAGCTGCTGAAGACAGTCCTTTAAAAACAAAACTAAAAAAGTCAGAGATAAGAATAATTTAGAAAAATGAGGAAAACCGTGCTTTGTCTGCAGTAAGTGATGAATTGATCTTGAACAGTTAGAATTCTCATTAACTAAAAAGAGATTATGAATATATGTTATCAGAGTATGATTAGAGTAGGCCACAGCAAATTTTCCATTGCTGTGTTCAGTCAAAACATGCAAATAAGGTCAGTCTCTTGCATTTGTAGAATGGAGATTTTAAATTGGAGAATTTAAAATCAGCCTGGTTGTGTTGCACATGATTCAATCAGCTTGTTTCTTTTTATTATTATTGTTAAAAAAAAGGGAAGGGGGTGAGGGAAAGCTAAAGAACCAAGCCTGTTTTGACTGAAGCCCAGAAAGATGCTTGACACTTCTTAGCATTTATTCATTTTAGAAATCCAGGCAGCTGAAAAGAACCTGCATTTTATGACGCTCAGTAAAGGGGACTCTCAGTTACAGCATTATCATGTCAGAATTTCCCGTAGGATAACAAAAATGAAATGCAGGTTCCTAAATGAGCTGGTTACAAATGAGGAGATTTACAAACTACGTGGCAAGTGCTGCAGTCTAGGAGGTGGCAGGACTAATAGTGCTTGTTGTGTTATTTTTGGAGAAAACAAATCCTCCTTGTGTTCACTCTGCAGCAGGTTTGTCTTGGGTGGGAGAGGTTGTCAGGCAAGTCTTTCAGTGTCGGTCCTTATTATTTCCATGCTGTCCTCCAAAAAGACCGAAAACCTGCTCTTAAAGGAACCTTTCTAAAGAGAAGGTGCCAGCACTGACTTTGTTCCATCCTAAAAGCTTTGTCGGAATTGCCCTTCCCTGAGCTTCAAAACTCATGCATACCTGTGGAAGCAGATGAAAGAATAGGAATAAAAATAAGATACTGAATTACTTCTGCTGCTACATGCCTGGAAAAAAAAAATCATCAAAGGTTATTATAATTATGACTGTTATTAGATATCGTGTCTGATTTCTGCATATTTAAATTCTTTCTCAGAGGTGAAACTTAGGCACTTAGAGATCCCAGGGGAATAATTGCAGGAATTATGACATATATTCCGCTTCTTGAACAAATTTCAGTACTGCCTGCTTGCATTTCTTCTTCACTCTGCTTGGATGCAGGATAGATAGATGGCCATTTTCTGTCTCACAAATGGCTGTAGCCCGTTAGTGCCGTAGATCACGAATAACCAGTGGCCCAACACATTAAACAGAACTTTCTTGTCCTGACGTTGTGGTGAAACAGTCTTCAGATATCCCAACGTTGCCTTTCCCTGCGGGGCCAGCCTTGGGCAACGCCACAAACCCAGTAGCTCAGTCAGCGTTGGGTTAGCTGCACTCATTGGAGCGGGCACAGTTGTTTTCCTGTGGGTGGGTGTGAGTGGGTATGTGTGTGTGTGTTGGAAATTACACAGAACCACCAAATGGTTGAGGTTGGAAGGGACCTCTAGGGATCATCTAGTCCAACCCCCCTGGGTGTCTGGGACACCCAGAGCACGGGGCACAGGGCGGCATCCAGGCGGGTTTGGAAGACCTCTAGAGAAGGAGACTCCACAGCCTCCCTGGGCAGCCTGTGCCAGGGCTCTGTCACCCTCAGTGGGAGTAGGCTGCTCTGCTCCATTTCTTGTAGTTGCTCTTAGTACCATAAGCTGGCTGGGATGTGGTGAGTTCTTTCCTCCCGCTTTCTGCCCTGTCCCAAGACCTCCTGAGCACAAAAGTTGCTGTGGAGCCTGCGGGGACATGGAGATTCATCTATGCCCCTGGCACTCATGGAGAAAGAGATCAAAAAATTGGCCATGGGCATCTGAAGAGAGCACTGTGTGTATCAAATGATCAAACACAGGTGTTCTTTTCTTCTTCCCTTCGATTTTTTTTTTTTTTTTTGGCATCACATACCTTTCCGCTGTCGTCTGAAAGCAAGGAGGTAGCCCAGGAAGCTTGGAGTGTCACACAGGTGAGATTCATGGAGAGGGTGGAGGCAGAAGGGAGAACCTGGTGACTGAGAGAACTGGGGAACCACCAGGCAGCTGGGGACAACTTGCAGCCCTGGTATTGCCCTCCACCGCCTTTGCCAAGTGGTGGCATCAATAAATAACGTGAGGCCTGACTGGCTGGTTGTCTTGGGTGATCTTCAGTGCTAGACAGTGCTCGTGTTTCCCCAAGGGTGAGTGTTGCTGCACCAGCATTTCCTCCTGCTCTTTTTCGCCACATTGCCCAACATCTCATTGCTGTTGCAGCACTGCAGTGCCAAACTGGACTGGGTTTTTAAAAGCTGTGGCTTGAAACATCACAGAAAATACAAAACCTCTCCATTCAGGGAAAACGCTCCCTGTAATCTTACTCCCAGCATACTTATTTCCAGCACCCTCTTGACACGCATTTGCAAAACTCGTTTGGGGATTTGAAGTGAGTAACTGTTTCCTGAAAGAAAAAATTACCCGAGCATTTAGGAGAATGGCAAATGTTTACGCTGTATTTACATTGCTGAAATCTGAATACACTGTATGAATTGTTCTTTGTAATTACAAGCTTCCCAGAGAAATCTTGATATATATTTTAATTATGCTCTTAAACACCTCTTAGAAGTATGCAATACATACATACATATATATATTTTACTATGAGGAGTCTGTCACTAGTTCTGCAATTCAGAGTTTCTTCCCCTTCTGCTCTGTACCCCGTTGTGGCCCCAGGACTTTATTTTAACTGTAGCTTGGGAGAGGACCTGCATGCTCTCCAGCCCTCCCTCATCTCCAGGGCGTTCTTTGGAAAGCTCCCAGAGGTGTGAATAGGGGCAGTAGATCCCATGTGAGATTCTCTATGTGACATTACTGTCGTAATTTCAATCTGTTTTTCCTTTAGTCATTAACATGCAGAGAAAATTGTGGAAATCTCATATGCTACTTCTACTGCTTTTTACTTGAAGGCATCACTCAAGACATCCTTATCTCATCTCTTTATCTCCTTACTAACTCAGGAGGACCTTATAATAGAGTCCTTAATCTTCTGTGTAACAGCCACCACTTGGATACAGTCTTTCCATGAAAGGTCTTGAATTCAATTTTTGTTCATCGATATTGCAAGTTTGGCACAAAACATGAAAACACATTGTTGATACTTGCGATAGTGACAGTAATAAAAGCAGTAAATTAATTTAGCTTGCTAGACAGTTGTAATTTGAAGAATACATTTGTCAAATAGCTTGGAAAAAATCCAGGGTACATTTAGAGGAAACAACTGGAGGTGGATTCAGACTGAAAATGTGAGCTAAATATGCCTTCAAGCTTTGCAGAAATCAAGAGCTGAACTTCATTATACAACTCACTAATGGATGAAATAAAAGGTAGTGCAGATATTTCAAACATTTTTTGACAGAGATTCTACGTGGCAACTAACTGGCACTGTTATTCCTCCTGCTCTTTCGTTTGATGGAATTGTAAAATACATTTGATGCCTTCTTTGAACTATATTAATGTATGTAGAAGTTGGGACATATAAGTAATATACTGAAGGCTGATACTGTTGTGTCTGTGAGTTATTTAAAAGTTGCTTCTCCATTGAGTCTTTTTAATATATAGTAGAAATTTCTGGGTTGGTTGTGCTGTCATGGATATTAATGCAATGTCATGAGTACAGCTTAGGAGTATTATGAAGATGGGATAGAAAGATACTCTATCCTACTACATAGTAATTGTATCTTTAGGGAAAAGAAGGAGAGAAGGAGAGGAGAGAAAGAGGAAAAAAGGAAGAAAGGAGGAAAGAAAGAAGCTAAAAAAGCTAAAATGGATTAATTTGGTGGTTTCCAGGAGTTCTGCAGTGTTACCATTACCTGCTGGATGTTCTCATGTTTTTATTTTAGTTTAACCTATACTGTGATTTGTTGCAGAAATTGATGCTGACAGGGAGATTTTTGATTAATTGGATGAAGCAGTGATGAAACACGTGCACGTCTAACATCTTTCTGTTACTGTGTTTATAAAACTCAGTTCACAGGTCTGAACTGGTTTTGCCCATTAAGGCACTACAGTGCTGCAGTTCTAGCCCTTAATTGTGATCTCTGCCCTGTCAGTTTTAAAGTGAAATAAGACTTTCTCCACCCCGCTTCCCTGCTGACACTGAATTTCCTCAGACACTTTGTTTGTTTCTGCTAAGCCTGCCTGCTTATGGCTGCAGTTCTCTTCAGACTGATTTGTGGGTTTTGCCTTCTCAGGCATCTCTCTCGCCTTTTATTTTCCAGGTTGGTGAGAGGCAGAGGGTGCTGGTAACAGAAGAATCCTTCGATTCCAATTACTATGTCGCTCACAACCGTTTCTATGAGCAGGTACTGGAAAATGAATAAAATAGCCTCTTTTTGCTTTGTCTTCACTTTCTGATCTGCTGTTTCAGCAGCTCAGGGTGCCACAGTGCAAAGGCAAACAAACAGAGACACCCTTTCCAAGAGAAGTGTCACCATCCAGACTTACTTGGGAGAAATTTTGTGTCTTTCTGTATAAAGATAAATAATGACTGTGGTAGGATTTTTGAATTTTGTGATGGAAAAGTTACTTTCCATTATCAAAATGCTTATCTTTTCCCTAAAATCTTGAAAGTGTTAAGTTTGACAAGGGTAACATCCTTCTGCTCACCCAGGTAAGCATAAAACTGGGTGCTAAGTGACTGCCTTTAATATTATATGATTAAAGCAGAATAATCTATCTTGAGTGACTAAATATTGTATCATAATTAAGAAGCTGAAGTTCGGAGCCTTGATGTCATATTCTGTTAACTAAAAGTTCTTTCTTCACCGAAGCTTTTCTGTGTTTAAGAGGTTGCCCAGTAAACACCAATAGAGCTATACTGGCAGATTTCCTGACAGAAATTAAACTTAAATTTAGCAGAGATCAGAAGCGTTGGCCATACAGTTTAAACTAATTCATAGTAGATAGACAACATTGACCAAAGAATACTTTGCCAGATCCATAGTGGAGATTGGGGATTTTCTTGATAAAACTGAATTTTGTAGTAGTAAGTACTACTAAGTAGTTGTTTTGTGTTTTGTTTTTATATTTCCCCCCAATGACTGTTTGGATGTAGGCCTGGCCTGCCTGCTGGCTTGTTTACAGTGCCTCCCAGATATTTTCCCTTAATTTTGGTCTTCTTCTGAGGTCATAATCATTATCCGCATCTGTGTCCTTGGGGTTTTCTATTTAATGCTGTTAACTAACATTTCGAATATGGGGATACCAAGATTTACAGAGATCACAGGCCTAGTGATAGCTAATTACCTAATTTGCCTAATTTAAATTAGCCCAAAGAGATCTGTATGAAAAGAACTACAGCCTACTTGCACTGTAATCCTAACTCAGCATTAAGATCATGGCTTTCAGTTTGCCGCTTAGTTCCAGTTTGCCTCAGTTTTCTCACCTCTAGAAGCCAGAGGTGTTGCCTTGCCTTAAAAGATTGTCAGGAGGCTCAGCAAGAGCCTGGAATGTGGGAACACCTGCAGTCATGAACACCTCGAGACTCTGGGGAGAAAAGTCCTTCATAATGATTCCCTACAAGTGAGGCACCTAACCCCTGAAGCCCCTGGAGAGCCATGGGTTGACTGGATACACTGATGTCTTCTGTGCTAGTCAGTCACCATCTTTGTCTCTGTCTTTATTTGAAAGGTTCTCGTGCCAAAGGATCCTCTGTTAATGGGTAAGATGGTAGAAGTGAATATTTATGAAGCTGGAAAACATTTTATGAAGGGGCAGCCAGAGTCAGATGCCAGAGTTTACACTGCATCCATCACCAGACCATTAGCAAAAGGAGAAGTTTCTGGTTTAACAGAGGTGAGTAAAAGACATTTTCTGCTTTACTACACTAGTAAAACAGCAACTGTTCAAGCATAATGATTCCAGGCTATGTATCTGTTGTCATTTTATAGTTTTCCTTTTATGTATGCATGAAGCTTTAATCTTTTCTGACAGATTGAAATCCGAATTTAAAAGATTTTTTTTTTTGCTGATGCTGTAGCTTTACTTTACTGAGTGTAAAGGCAATGATTCGCTTGTTTCTTGTTCCGTGATGTGAGATCCAGAAGGAACTTATTCGAAAGGAAAAGATATAACACCAGAAATTATATAGTTCAATGTATTTCGGTCCTGGTGTAGTGTAAAGATGAATCTGTTTGTTTATTCTCTTTTACAAAGCTGTTTTAAAAATATTTATTGATCACATGTTTGTTAAGAAGGCTCAAAATTGGATCCAGAGGTTCAAAATTAATTGGTGGATAGATGTATTGAATATTTTCAGTATATTTTAGCAGAAGGTCAACATCTGATTTAGTCACATAAAAAAAAAAGAAAATCCTTTTAAAAAGGTATCTGATCCTTATTTTACACCTCAGTAGGTATGGCTGTTAGCCAAGTATTCTCATACATTTCATGGAGCTCTAGTTGTAAAAACTGATGGAGTGTGAAATGAAAATGTGTATCACATTTCCAAGCATCATTTGATGTCCTTTCTCCAGCACTGTTGTTACGAGCTCAGAAAATATGTAGCAATAATTTAGCACATGGAAAAAAGATAACTGACAGTTTATAAGTCACCTTGCTGTTTTAGCAGTAAATTGTTGACGAGTATTAAAAAAAAGATCTTTGTTAAAGTTATAGGTGGTCACATGAAAAAAGAAAAATGTATAACTTAAGGAACTAATGTTAAAGTTAAGCTATTTGGTATCTCACATAAGACTGGCTATAGATATTGAGCAAGAATAATGTGTTTGGCAGATCATGAAACTTAAGCAACAACACACTGCTAAACTGTGCTTTGAATAATGTCTGTGTGTATGCCTATATTTGCCTGATGAGGGACTGTAGGAGGGAAAAAAACAGCCTAAAACCTTAAATTCTCTGATTGGATTTGTAGCTATTTAAACACAGCTGCTTTTTTCATCAGAACATTTTTTTTTTTAATAATCCACTGGAACAGAACCAAGTCTGTCATTAAGGGAGTTCATGCTGCCAGAAGCTTGTAGCATGGGAACGAGCAAGAAGAAAGTTGACCGAAATTTCCCGTGTTAAAAATGAGAGATAAAATGATGACCAAAGTGACTGATAATTTCCATAAGAAATCACATGCATGTAAGGTGGGGAGTTCTGCTCCTGCCTTCTGACTAGATGTAAGCAGCCGTGGGGAATGCCTAAATAAAGGAATATCGCAGGGGTATGATATGGCAAATTGCTTTTTGTAATCTTAGTGGCTGCTGATACTCCTGCTACGAAGTATCTTATTTATGTTTTGTCCACTGGACGTATTAGGAACTTACATTTTGTGGAAAAAAAATACAGTTTCAACTGTTTATACAGTATGGAACGTGTCCTGTCTTATAGTAGGAAGCCTAAACTGGATGCTTCACTATTGATTCTACCTGAGTGAAAGACCATCATCTTTATGGGTTTTTTTTCCTGTTATTGTACTGCTGGGCAATACTTCCTGCTAGATGAGCTGGAGGTACCTAATTCTAAGCTAAAATATCTGTGTGCAAGATTTACATTAAAACTGTGGCATGTGTCTCCGTTTCATGTAAAGACAGGGACAGGGATGACACATGCCATATGCCCCTTTATATAGCTTGCTATATGCACACGTGGCAGGTGGTGGGGGAAGAGGAATGAAATGACTTGGAACATGTGTATTCAGATACGGCCACAAAAAAAAAAAAAAAAAAAAAAAGAATAAAAAGCCAAAGATCTTGGATCTTCAGGAAGATCCAGGGAGGATCCAGGAGTTGTTTTTAAAATTATAGCATACAGAACTAAAACCTTTGCTGAGCTTTTCTGTTGAGTCAAGCTGTCTAGCTGCACAGTGGAGAGGAGGAAGAATTACCCAAAACAGGATTCAAGAGCAAGAAATGAAAGCACATGGCCTTCTTCACCCTCCCCTTCCCATTCAGCACACAAAGGAGCAGGAATGAGGGCCTCATTCCAGATGTTAAGACGGTGGGTAGCCAGCTGCCGGGTGATTCTTCCAAGGAGAGACACATGTTCTGCAGCGTGCCTGTCCTCTCGGCAGCGGCTCTTTTAGGCCCCAAGCAGCACCTGCAGCGGAGACGCTGTCCGTAGAGCCGGGGAGTTTCCAGTGCTGGACCCTTGGTCTCACCCCGCATTCTGCAGATTCTTCTTCTTTCTGCTTGGTGGTCTTGATGAGAGCTGGTGCAGAGAGGCATGTGATTTTAAAACTTTGTGTGGGGTAATCTGGAGCGGGGCATGGGATCATGGGCTGCAGTGAAACATTTCCATGCCTCAGTCTGCTCCTGGCCAACAAGGCGCTTGGCTCTTTCCTCATGGCCATGTGCATTGCTGGGGCTGTAGGACACACCTTGCTGTTCAGCACATACATGTGTGTTTGAGGAAAAGGATCCGTTTATTGGAACTTTCCGAAACTGTGTGTTCTCCCTCTGACCTGCTACATGTGCCTCAGTACCTTTTTATGATCAGAAGCACCAAAATCACATGGTGTGTCTGAAGGGAAAATTGTAGATTTTCGTGTCTGTTTTTGACTCCGTGACTGGGCTAGCGAACTGGCTCCGAAAAATAGAATACACAGGCCCCCAGCAGGAATCAGCAGCTTGGTTTGGAAAAGAAGGGGAAAAAAAAGAGAGAGAGGTAGCAGAATGTCCCACCAAAAAAAATGAAAGATTTTACAAATTCCATAAAACATTCATGGATTGTGTATGCCAAAGCAGAAGCAATTAAAACTCTTTCAAGATTTTTTCAAAAATTATCTTTTTATGATACTTTTTCAGTATGTATAAAGCACACCTGATATGCATCCATTAATGGGTATTAACTTCTTTTTAGTTACTGTATTATCCAAGAAGGGGAAAAAAGTATAACTAAGTAGACAGGCTTAGGAAAAGGTTCTGGTGTTCAGTAAAATTAGACTGTGTGGCAGAACCCCAAAACTGGAACAAGAAGAGAGGAGGAATGTTTGGATCAGTGTTTCAGCTTAAAAGTCAGGCAAAATAATCAGACTTACTGATTGTGGTGGACATATTATGCATTAAAATGCAAAGCACAGCAGTTTACCATGGTTAACTTTTCAATTCAGCACGAATTTTTGATAGAAGCCCCTCAAAAGTAAACCATGTCTTACACTGCATTCCTCCAGGAAGATGAGATTTTGGGGCAAAAATCTTTAGACTCAGAAATGTAAATCTGCGATATTTAGATTTCTTTGGGCTTGCAATGTGCAGATACTGATTCAGCAGCCAGTGTTTAGAGGGTTTATAGCAAGAGCATTTACACTTTGTCATGTCAAGCTAAGGTGAAAGTAGAAATCAAACGTGAGCCTGCGCATAAGGATTTTTCTGGATTTGGTTCCAGTGACTTTAACAGAATTTGGGATGGGCATCATTGAGTGATGACAGACATTGAACATTGACAGCTCTTAAAAATGGTCATTATGACAAAATAAATGTCATGAGTTTGCACCCGCAATTAAAAATAACTGTAAGTAAATATCTCAAATCTTTGATGAAGAGAGGATTCTGCTAAGATCCTCAGAAAACAGGAAGGTACAATGTGGATGCTGAGGATGTGATACATTTCCATGGAGTTAGGCTAGGATTTGACAAAGCAATAAGTATTTACTTAAGTATTTTAAGATTCAGTAAAGCATTTTGGCATGTCTGCTATGTCCTGAAATGTTTAGGTGAAGTATTCCTTGAAATTTGGGAGGGGAGTGCACAATGCAGGGACTATTAGCTTCATTATCACTGCACAATAATATTTTTGAAAATATTGTCAGTTTGTGTCAATGGTCTGCATGTTATTTAATTTAAAAATAACATTTTAAAAAACAATTTTGTTTATTTTTATTAATTTTATTTGGCCATATGTAGAGATATTTATAGTTTCTCAGCAGCAAAAATGTTAAATGCCTAATAAATGTATCCTTTTTACATAAATAAATGCTTATCCAGACTTAATCGTTCAAAGAAATTAGCATGATCTGTTGTTAGAATCTGAAATAGAGTACATTTTACTTTTGTACTCCAAAAATAATTCTACTTGTTTACATGTATTTTGGAGCAAGAGGAATATGAGTGAAATAATTACATTGTAGGATGAGAAATATATAAAGAAGAGACCTAAGGACTGGGAGATAAAAATAGAACGCTGGCTATCTGTCAAAATTGCAATGCATTGCCAAAATCAAAGCTCTAGAAGCCTGGGAGTCTTTGATGGGAAATTTTCATCAGATAGAAAAATAAGACAACAAAAATATTTTAACTGGTTATTTAATTATATACTCATGCTTATTTTATGTTCATAATTCCTGTTTCCATAATACATCTACAGTTTGACTTTCTTTTGAAAGTAATGTAGGCACATCTTTCTCTCAGTTACCTCTTTTCAACTGTTATATGTGATTATATACTCAATGTTAGCATTTTCTTCACAAACTAGTGCTGTTGGCAGTCCCCTTTGCAGTATCTCTCTTCTTGTAATTCTAGGATTTTGGTCCACGTGTAGACTCCAAAGGAGTCTATAGGAATATCCATACATAGGAATGTGAATGCTGATGGGCTCTTGGAACCATCACTTTGTTGGGATCTTAAGAAGAAATGAAGAGCAGGCCACTGATTTTTAGGCAGCAAGCAATCTTGTTTCTTCTTCTCTTCATCCTTCTTTCCTTTTTTCCCCTCTCCCGTAGCATTTTCCTTCTGGTTGTTTCGGAAGACTCTTCATACTCCTCGTCTCCCATGTAGCCCCAACTATTTTCTAGTTACATTAGGCAAAGATGACCTCCAAACTTTACCCAGCCCTTTTTTTCTGATGTTAGA